AAGAACATAGACCAGTGTTTAAACAATAGTGGTTAATGAGGAGTGTTTACCTTAACAAAGATTAGAGGCCAGTTTGGAGAAATGAAGATGGCTAAAGTTCACTGGGTCTTTTTTTTTTTTTCCTGTGAATTTCATGGGTTGATGACAATAATAGTTGAGATATTATTACAACATCGATATCCTAAAAGTCCTCTGCAGGATAAATGCTCTATGTAACCTACTAGCTTGTATATTTCAAGAGAGAGTTTTATGGTAAATTCTCATAAAATTATTATGAAAATAATGACATTTCTTTGAGAGAACAAAATAATTTTCTTTAGTTTAATTCTTTTTTTTAAGATTTTTTTTTAAATTTATTTGAGAGAGAGCAAGAATGATCACAGAGGGAGAGGAAGAGGGAGAAGCAGACTGTCTGCTGAGCAGGGAGCCTGATGCAGGGCTTGATTCCAAGACTCAGAGATCATGACCTGAGCTGAAGGCAGACACTTAACTAACTGAGCCACCCAGGTGCCCCAGGTTTATATTTTTGATGTTGTCTCCAAAAAAAGGTTCTATGTATAGTAGCTGAGATATACTGGTAAAGATTAAAAGAAAAAAGTCATCATCATATAATTCTAAACTTATGTTGCTTTACCCCTGTAGTACTCTGTGAGTTAATATTTTATAAATTCTATGCTTACCTTAAATAGCAAAATATTGCCATTACAAGATACATTACATTGCAATTAAAAGAAACCACCCTTTTTTAATATCTTTTTTTAGAAAGTTTTCATTTTTAAAAATTTACTGAGATCCTTAGAAAAATGGAGGTGGTCCAGGCATCTCTGAATCTCTGGGAGATCTTGGTCATAATCATCACTTTATCTTTAAAATATGATAGTTTGGGGATCCCTGGGTGGCGCAGCGGTTTGGTGCCTGCCTTTGGCCCAGGGCGCGATCCTGGATCGAATCCCACATCGGGCTCCCGGTACATGGAGCCTGCTTCTCCCTCTGCCTGTGTCTCTGCCTCTCTCTCTCTCTCTCTCTCTCTCTCTCTCTCTCTGTGACTATCATAAATGAATTAAAAAAAATAAAATGTGATAGTTTTAACAAGGGACCCCAAACTAATAACTGTATAAACACCTAACTCACTAACTGCTGTCAGCGAGCCCTACTGTTTTGCTGCCATCTAACCAGCAGTCAGAAAAGTCACAGCTTCTAAAGCAGAGGTTCACAATCCTGGCTGCATATCAGAATCACCTACATTTTCCCCCAGATCCCACTCTGGACCTCCTGATTTAGATTCTCCAGGACTGGAGTCTGTAGATGACTATGCTTAAAAGGCTCTCTTCCTCTCTTTTTTCCTTCCCTATTTCCTTATGGTTCCAGGACTTGGAATTCAAGCTAGTACTGTTTAGCTTCATCATAGGTTTAACAGATCTGAAGGCTAATCTGAGGGTCAACCACCATTTTCAATGTAGTATTTCTGGGGCAATGTGTTACAAGTGCCACAAGCATAATTTAGAGTAGAAGTTTGAGGATGCAGATTTTTTAGGGGCACTGCTCACATAAAACTTTTGATCAAAATACCTTCGATTATTCTTCAAATTTCTTATTGCATTTAAATATATGAAAGTAAATGCTGAGATGAAAGTGTTATATTCAAGTGTCCATTCTTTTTTTTTTTTTTAAGATTTTATTTGTTTATTAGAGAGAGCAAGAGAGTGAGCACAAGTGTGAGAGAGAATGAGCATGGGGAGGGGCAAAGAGCAAAGTAGACTCCCACTGAGCAAAGGGCCTGACATGGAGCTTGATCCCAGGACCTTGGGATCATGACCTGAGCCAAAGGCAGATGCTCAACCACTGAGCCACCCAGGTGCCCCTCCAGTGTCCAATATTATAAATAATTCAAGGTATTATGTTGGCCATTCTTCTATTTCTTAATTATAGGTCTATGCTATGATTACTGATGCTCTGAAGAAGACGATCCTCCTGTATCTCAGTAAAATTCCTCATCCAAGAAATAAAAATTTAATCGTAGTCATCTAAACCCCAAATACACAAGGAAATATCTAGGGAAGTTGGGAACTGAAGAACCAGTCCCACCTTGCTCCCTGACCCAATTCACTCTGGCTTACATTCCATTTGGGATGATTATATCTATGGGGACAGAGGAAGATATGTTCCTACTTCTTACCAGGAAAGTGCAGGCAGATATTGAAGTCATCTTGAGTATTGATACTCTGAGGAGTTGTGACTGAAATACTTGGACATGGACAAAACTCAGAAAAATCAAGTTCCAAAGGACTATGGTTGTGAGTAGTATAGCAAATGGTGTTGTGTTGATAAATACAAAGCATAATTATAAAGGTTGGGAATTTATTTTTTCCTTTTATTTTTAAATATATGTATTTTTTATTGGAGTTCAATTTTCCAACATACAGCATAACACCCAGTGCTCATCCCGCCAAGTGCCCCCCTCAGTGCCCATAACCCAGTCACCCCAACCCCCCGCCCACCTCCCTTTCCACTACCCCTTGTTCCTTTCCCAGAGTTAGGTGTTTCTCATGTTCTGTCACCCTCTCTGATTTTTCCCATTTTCTCTCCTTTCCCCTTTATTCCCTTTCACTATTTTTTATATTCCCCAAATGAATGAGAACATATGTTTGTCCTTCTCCGATTGACTTATTTCACTCAGCATAATACCCTCCATTTCCATCCACATCGAAGCAAATGGTGGGTATTTGTCATTTCTAATGGCTGAGCAATGTTCCATTGTATACATAGACCACATCTTCTTTATCCATTCATCTTTCGATGGACACCGAGGCTCCTTCCACAGTTTGGCTATTGTGGACATTGCTGTTATAAACATCGGGGTGCAGGTGTCCCGGCGTTTCACTGCATCTGTATCTTTGGGGTAAATCCCCAGCAGTGCAGTTACTGGGTCGTAGGGCAGTTCTATTTTTATTTATTTTATTTTTTTAATTATTTATTTTATTTTATTTTTTATTTTTTTAAAAAGATTTTATTTATTTATTTATGACAGAGAGAGAGAGAGAGAGAGAGAGAGAGAGAGAGAGAGAGAGAATGACAGAGGCAGAGACACAGGAGGAGGGAGAAGCAGGCTCCATGCAGGGAGCCCGACATGGGACTCGATCTGGGGACTCCAGGATTGTGCCCTCGGCCAAAGGCAGGCACTAAACCGCTGAGCCACCCAGGGATCCCCTGGCAGTTCTATTTTTAACTCTCTGAGGAACCTCCAAACAGTTTTCCAGAGTGGCTGCACCAGTTCACATTCCCACCAAGAATGCAAGAGGGTTCCCCTTTCTCCACATCCTCTCCAACATTTGTGGTTTCCTGCCTTGTTAATTTTCCCCATTCTCACTGGTGTGAGGTGGTATCTCATTGTGGTTTTGATTTGTATTTCCCTGATGGCCAGTGATGTGGAGCATTTTCTCATGTGCTTGTTGGCCATGTCTATATCTTCCTCTGTGAAATTTCTGTTCATGTCTTTTGCCCATTTCAGGATTGGATTGTTTGTTTCTTTGCTGTTAAGTTTAATAAGTTCTTTCTAGATCTTAGATACTAGCCCTTTAACTGATACGTCATTTGCAAAAATCTTCTCCCATTCTGTGGTTGTCTTTTAGTTTTGTTGACTGTTTCTTTTGCTGTGCAGAAGCTTCTTATCTTGATGAAGTCTCAATAATTCATTTTTGCTTTTGTTTCCCTTGCCTTCATGGATGTATCTTGCAAAAAGTTGCTGTGGCCAAGACCAAAAAGGGTGTTGCCTATGTTCTCCTCTAAGGATTTTGATGGAATCTTTTCTCCCATTTAGATCTTTCATCCATTTTGAGTTTATCTTTGTGTCTGGTGTAAGAGAATGGTCTAGTTTCATTCTTCTGCACGTGGCTGTCCAATTTTCCCAGCATAAAGGTGGGGAATTTAATTTTGTTCCAGAAAGATATGGCTGTTAAGACTTTGTAGATGAACCAGAGAGTTGAGACAATCATTATTTAAGTGAAAAACCAACTTGCCCTTCCTTATTTGAAGGTGGAAGAATGAGAAGGATGATGTATTTGGGGCTTCCAGGCTGAGCTCCAACCACCTATCTGAACGCTTCAGAAAAGCATCCACAGATGCCATACATGTTTTTCCCTCCGGAATGATCCAGATAATTGCCCTTCAGCCCATGCTCCACTAACCTGGGAATAGAATCCATTCATTTAACTATTGTATAGGGCTACAATTGCCACTTCAAATGAAAACCCAGGAAGCCAAATTCCAGCTGCTGTTGAAAGTGTATAATTAGCTCCTTGTGCAGCCTGACCCCACTGATTTTTCTGACGCATTTGGCCTGCAGTGTGCCCTTTCTGGGACCTCCTGGATCTTCTCCGCAGCTGGAGATTCCCAAAACTGCACGGAGCACTTCCTGTGGGTGTGGCCTTACACTCAAGACTGCGCGCTGAGTGGGTCGCGTTGCAACCGCGCAGATTCACAAAGCTGTTTAAAATACCGGGAGTGGACTGTGGGCGGCTACATCAGCCATAAGAGGGTTCCCTCCTTTCTTTTTCTTTTTAAAAGAGGGTTTTGTCATGACGTCCTCTCAAGAAACACTATACTTGGTCAGCCTGGCATGCTGTTTGTCGTCCTCCCAGATAACGTCATTAGCTATTCTCAGGAGAGGAAAGGCAGGGTATGCCCCCTGGGAGAATGACAACAGTTGTTTCAAGTTGGGGAAGAGCCTGTGGCTCTTTTCCTGCGTTTGGGGGGAAAGCGAACACACAATGTTCGTTTCCTAAAAACGGGATGTGCTGTGTGCCTGGCAGGTCATTTTCCACCATGTCACATCCTTCTGGTTGAAGGCAGCAGGGGACCAGGACAGGAAATGGCAAATTCTCAGAATGAGACAAGGCTTTCCCAGGGCAGCCATTGGTTCTCTGGAACTATAAAACATGCTCATCCAGAAACAGCCTCAGCTTTTGCTTTCCTGGACATAGCCAGAAGTGAATGGTAAGTGGGGGAGCCTAGAGGGATTCTGTCTAAAGGATGGCCATTGGAATAGTAATATTGGGGTTATATCCTTGGTCCACTGTATATTTTGTGTGACTCTTCCTCATTTTACTAAGAGGTGTCTTTGCCTGAAAATTTATCACCGGTGGATGGAATAATGAGGGCGTGCAAATAAAATTAAGGCCTAGGAGTCGGGAGACCAAGGTTCTAGACGGTTCTGTGAAGAATCAGCTGCATCTAGAACGTGTCTGTATCTTTATTTTTCTCATCTTTCAGATGAGAATAATGATCCGCTTTGATGTCTCACAGTATTGAAATGCTCTATTTCTAAGGTTTATTTGCGACTTTTAAGAAGTTCCTATAACGAGGAGTACAGTGGGTATGAAGGTGGGAATCTCTGGCAACAAGGAAGGATGTACTTTTACCCCAGATGTACAGTTCTCTCTGTCATCTTCAACTGGCTTCAATTCAACTTGGTACAAGGTAGCCCTCCGTGAGTTGTTAAACAAAAATGTCGGACACTTGATTTTATCCAGCCGTTACTCATTTTTTAAAGGAAGATTTCCTCGTAAAGAAACATAGTGGCACTAATTTTAATGTGATTTAGTTTTAACTGTGCACCCATCAAAGAGTGAGAATTAGAAAAAAAAAAAAAAAGCCCAAAGGACATCTTAGGCTTGACTCTAAAGTAAGAACCTGGAAAAACAAGCAGAAGAGTTAATTCAGGGAAGCATCTAAGAAAGATTAGTTTCTTACATTTGATAAAACAATACGATTTTTGAGGTTGGTTTTTTTTTTTTTTTGGGGGGGGGGTGACTTGTCTTTCTCACTCACCAGGAGGGAAAAAACATATTGCAAAACTCTCAGGATCCAAGTCTTCACGTAAGGAAAAGGCTTTGCGAACTGGGTACAATGTGCCAGATGTAAAGTGACAGAGCAGGGGCCTCGGAACTGCAGTAGACTTCCAAGGCCCCCACCCCTCCCCCCTGAGCATCTCCCATCTTAGGTAACGGCGTTCCCGCTCCCGCTCCCGCTCCCGCTCCCGGGGGAGGGAAGCAGAGCAGAGCATTACACCCCCCGCTTGCATGTGCCTGTTAGGGTCCCGAGAACTGGTGTGGTTGGGCGCAGGTTCCAGAGCTGGTCTTTGCGAGCGGGCCACGCACAGGCCTGGCTGGAAAACGAGCTTGTGTGATGCCCCGTGGCGCGGCAGCAGCCGCCACCAGCCGCCGCGCCGCACCGGGGCGGGGGGCGGGCGCGGAGACTCGGGCTGACGCGCGTGTGTGTCCCCGCAGGGCATGGAGCCGCCGGCGCGGGAGCTGCAGGGCGCCGACGCGCTGCGCCGCTTCCAGGGGCTGCTGCTGGACCGCCGCGGCCGCCTGCACGGCCACGTACTGCGCCTGCGCGACGTGGCCCGGCGCCTCGAGCGCCTCCGCCTGCGCTCCCTGGCGGCCAACGTGGCCGGGAGCTCGCTGAGCGCCGCGGGCGCCGTGGCGGCGATCGTGGGGCTCTCGCTCAGCCCGGTGACCCTGGGGGCCTCGCTGGTGGCGTCGGCCGTCGGGCTGGGGGTGGCCACGGCCGGAGGCGCCGTCACCATCACGTCCGACCTGTCCCTGATCTTCTGCCATTCCCGGGAGCTGCGCAGGGTGCAGGAGATCGCCGCCGCCTGCCAGGACCAGATGCGCGAGATCCTGAGCTGCCTCGAGTTCTTCTGCCGCTGCCAGGGCCGCGGGGACCGCCAGCTGCTGCAGTGCGGGCGCAGCGCCTCGGTCGCGCTGTACAACTCCGTCTACTGCGTCGTCTTCTTCGGCTCCCGCGGCTTCCTCCTCCCCAGGCGGGCGGAGGGGGCCACCAGGGTTAGCCAGGCCGTGCTGAAGGCCAAGATCCAGAAACTGGCCGAGAGCCTGGAGTCCTGCACCGGGGCCCTGGACGAGCTCAGCGAGCAGCTGGAGGCCCGGGTGCAGCTCTGCGCCAAGGGCGGCCGCGGCCGCGACCTCAGGATCGCTGCTGACCAGGCCGCAGCGCTGTTTTTCTGAGAACATCCTTTCCCCGGTGACCAAGGCCAGAAGCCGTCCCCACGGGATGCTCTAGATTTGCAGTTCCCTCAGGAAGACAACTCCAAGTTGGATTAGGAGCCGAACGCAAAGGATGAGAAAAACTGTTCTTGACTGTTCTTGAAATCGGGGAAAGGGGGGAGTCCTCAGAGCCCCTCTGTTCCCATCACTGTGACGTCCTGCCTGGGGTTGAGGGCCAGGGGCTTTTTTTTGTTTTTTTTCTTGCCTAATCCTATGGGCTGTGTGAGCCGAAAATGATGTTTCCTTTATCAGAACCGTTCAGGCTCCACTGCGGTGGGCACTACTGTATTAAAGCTGTTTCAGGGTCCCTGCCCCAGGCGCGGTGGTTTGGGTAGAGGTTGGGAAGGACGCGGGAGCAGCCACCCTCTGGGGCCTCTCGAAGCTCCATCAGCAAGCACTGCGGGCCTCAGAATGCCTATGGGAGGAGACACTAGCTTTTAAACTTCTCTTCCAGAGTGTCTGAGTACAAAGAGCTCCAGAATCCAGAGCACATCAGATACCCTCTGCACCATGTAGCAGGGTTTAGTACCCAAGAGGGGCCTCCCCCGTCGACTGGCCCTTGCACCACTCTCAGTGTCTCCGACTCACAAATCGAGCTCGGGGCAGAGGAGTTATTCCTGAGGACTTTCATATCCAGACCTTATCATATACAGATATTCTGGGAGGGAAACCAGCTAAACGGTCATCTGAGTCCCACCCCCTTGCAACAAGAAGCTGAGGCCAAGGGAGATGAAGTGACTAACAATTGCATTTACGGACAGCCTAGTGTACTGAAGAGAGCAGTGGCTTTGAGTTAGACAGTCCTGGGTTTATTGTAAGCGCTGTCACTGCTGTGTGAACTTGGCCACTTAATTTCTCTGACACTTAGTTTCTTGGTCTGTGAAACAGATGCTAAAATGTCACCCTGTCATTGAGGTATTGAGATAAAGTGCCAAGCACAGTGTCTGGCTCATGAAGTGTGGCCTCCGGACTGGAAACATTAGCATTACCTGGGAACTTGTGAGAAAGGCAAATTCTCGGACCCAACTGTTGACTGAACGGGTCAGAAACTCTGGAGGTGGGGCCCAGCAACCTGTGTTGGTAAACCCACAGGGTGATTCTGATACCTACTAAGTTTTGTAGAGCACTGCCACACATGTTTGTTTCTGATACCCTTGTGAGCGTTCACAAAGTCTCAAGGCCTCTCCAGAGGCTCCATGGTCTTCAGAGTCGTTCACAGAAGGTCAGGAACAGACAGGGTCCCAAAAATAAAAGAAAGAATGTGCATGTATGTGGGATATGTTTTAGTGGGTCCTGGGGCAATTTCCCACCACTGAAATAAGGGCTATTACATAATAACTCCTCTAGAGGGCAGTGTTGCCCACTCATTGTAAGAACTGATACACAAAGGAATGTGAATTTAAAGCATATTGAACTTTGTTACCTTCTCTGAAAACTGCCAGGCCATGTATTATTTTTTTTTTAATTTATTTTAAGTTTGTTATTTAAGCTGTTTATTATTTGCATTTAGTTGTATTTAATCACCACATCACATTTAGGAAACAATAGGAAGAGCGATTTTCTGAATGGGAGACTACTGAGGCTCTTTTCAGGATATGAGGTTGAGTTCATTTCCCCCCTAAGGTGGGGCATGAACTGGAAATGGCAACGGTCTTCTTGAATAAGTCTCTCTCCAGGCAAGGGATATTTTATTCCCCAGTAATTTAAAGGGTCCTTTTAGGTAAATGTGGGAAGTTCTGAATAGAGAGACCAAGGGCCGAATTTAAGCTTATCAATGGAGGTTTGACTTGTGGGCTATAGAAATGATGCAAGCATATTTATCGTGAAGGTACTTTACCAACAAGTAACACTTGACCTGAAAAGCAAACCTATTTTGTGCAGGGAAAGAACCCCAACTAGAGGCATGTGAAGGAAGCACTCGGACCAGGGAAGCCTGCTGTCCTGTAATATGGGTGATAGAAAATATGGGTGATAGAAAAATAGCTTGTATCATGGTGTGAGGTGTCATGTTTTTACTTTGGGAGCTGTAAGGAATCTGTAAGCTGTCTGTAAGAAAATGCTTATAGTTTCTTCAATTTCCATTCCTACAACTATAATGTCGAAAAATCTGTTGAAAAGGCTTTGGGACCATGCACGCAAAACTAGGCTGTGTTATTTAATTATCTAACATGCTTTAAATTGACCCATTCTACCCCCATGTTTCCTGATGATGGAAGAGTATCTGAGGAACTTTAATTTCAGTGCTGGGCGGGACGGCTTAGCGGTTCTATTTTTTGCTTTTCCTATAAATTGCAATTGATCTGTATCCTGGTTTCTTTTGAAGTTGGTACTGGTTTCTTTTTAAACTGGTGTCATTTCTTAGACTACAGTGCACGGATACCAGCATTTTAGATCATCAGAATGTACCTCGCATTGTTGGTTGTGTTATGTCACAAAGGTACAACTACTCCCTAAGGCCATCTTTTATTAATGCTGAGGTTTGAGTTATAGTTTTCCAATGGGTCGGTGGTACTCTAGAAATAAACTTGGCATTTCAGGAAGCAAACAGCAAACTCCTCCTATCATTAGAGTATCTGGGGAAATCAAAGTCATAAACTCCCAAACTTATCATTTCAATGGCCCCTGTTACACTTAAGGAAGAGTTTCTACTTTGGAACAATACTTGGAACATTATAGGAGCTCAGTACATGGATTTAGATAATTTAATGAAGTGCTTAGCTATATTAAAAAGAATTTGTCGATAATGAAATATTATCCATCCTTTTCTGTGGAGCCTTCTAACCAGGATTTAGTCAAGTTCAGTTAAATGGGTCCTAGAGACAAATGTTTATTTATTTCTTTTGCGGGAATGCAAATAAGGCTTTTCCTTAAGGACTTCATTCTATAAACAAACAGATTGAAATGGTATGTTGTAAAAGGAAGAAGAGAGAGGGATACTTAGATTACAAATGCACTCCAGGAAAATGTCCAAGTTTGAAAAATAAAAATTTTGTACTAAGATTTATGTGCTTCTGTTAGTTTTTTGGGTTTATAATCATTTGGATTGTTTTTTTCCACAAAAATGAGGTTTATCTGGTTCTTCATTTCAAGGATTCAGTAAATGACATTCTGCTCTATGAAAAAATGATCCTTAGCAAACATTCTGATCTTCATTGCTTTGATGCATTTGCCCTCAGGCACTTGTCATTTCCAAGAAGGCAAATGTCAAAGTGGAAAGTAGTTACTTGGAGAAAAAAAGAGAAGAGTGGCGTAGAAGCCACCCTAGATCAGATAAGCCAAACAATCAGTCAACTTGATATATTTCTCATTCAATACTTTAGTGTGAAAAAAAGGAAGTAGAGGGAAGTGAGACATGGGCATAAAACATTGTGCAGAGATAAATGGGGATACGGTTAAATGCAGCTGTTTCTGAACTCCACATTTTTTCCCACTGTAGCAAAATAAGTCCTTTCTTTTCATTGAAATAAATTGCCCATTCTTCAAACTTTCTGACCTTTTTGTAATTAATCACCTAATCTTATGTCCACCTGCGTATAAATTAGTAACTTTGAAAAGGGGCAGATGTGTAATCATGTTCACTTAGAATATTCAGTGTTGAATTGTATAAATCAATTTTTTAAAAAATAATTAACTCCTGTTACAGGAATTATCTTATTATCTAGAAGTCTCAGCAGTTTCAAAATCTTTGGACATAATTGCAACCTAGGAAGTAATTGGAAGGAAACCTAGAATCCGCCAAATCAGCCTTCACAAAACCCAAACACTAGAGAGAGGCAGAAAGTAAGGGTGAAGGCAAAACTGTCCCAGAAATTTGCAGGAGACTTTACTTTGCAGGTAACTGTCTTGACCATGCAAGGCCTGTTGGGAAATGTAGTATTTTTAGCCACAAATTCGCTGCTCTTAATATACCTAGGATTCTGTTTATTCCAATTTTAGTATATGTATATAGTATATGCCAAAGCCAGCACCCTCGGATTCCTTTTGTAAGGAAGAAAAGGATTTTGGACATTGAGTGGGAGGCACAGCAATCCAAAGAGTCTGTAGTGGTTGTCTTTTGAGAACTGTCCCAGAGGTGATCTCACTTATCTGAGTGCCAGCCTCTGAGTCTCCACCTTGGAAACTCCCCTGGGTCTGAATGTTGCACTATTAATGACTATGCAGCCAGGAAAAAAAAAAAGGAAGAAGAAGGAGAAGAAGAAGAAGAAGAAGAAGAAGAAGAAGAAGAAGAAGAAGAAGAAGGAGAAGAAGAAGAAGGAGAAGAAGAAGAAGAAGAAAGAAAAGAGAAGCAAAGAAAGAAAGGCTGCATTGGAAGGACTGTTTGCAAAAGTCAGCCACAAGCTGGGATCCTATCTTTGCTGAAGTATATGGTGTTCCTGTCATGACAAGTGTCCTTTTAGTTAATTGCAATAAATCTCTCCTTGTTGAGTTGACAGGAGGTTCGGATGGTGTTTTTTGCAAACTCATATGATAGAAGGTAAACCTGTTGTGGTCTGGAAGAGGACAAAGAGTGAGAGCCTCATGATCTGGAAATAATCCCTTAGCAACCAGAGAATCAGTAGGAGAGGGGAAGTCATGCTGCTGAAGCAAGACCACTGCAGAGGCTAAAAAGGAACATTAAGGCCCCATCCACACCCCCATCCTGACTGGTAGTAGAATTAAGTTGTGGGGAGAAGGTCCTCCAAAATGCTCTTGTCTGCACAGGTAAAGCTTGGCTCTACCAAGCTACATCCGCAAAGGATGATGTTTAATGCCATTTTGTATTTCCAATATAATCCCAGGGCTGGGCCTGCAGGCAGGCTTGTGACCTGATTTGCCCCAGAACTTTAGCAATGAGTCACAGCCAAGGCCTCTGCCTCCCAGAGGCAGAAGTAGCCTTGGTATGGCTTGTTCCAGCATTTGTGTGGATAAAGTTGTTAAATTTACCAAAATTTTTGTAGCTAGAGTGGGGGAGGGATAATGATGTCTCAAGTCTTTCTTTTAGATTAAAATGACTTTTTCCAGGCTCCCTGGTTGGCATGCAGACATTTATCCTGCCCTCCCTTGTTAGTAAAATTGTACTGGTGAACTGTTGAGGAACATTACTTTTCTCAGTGTTTAAATAAAATGACATGTAGATAATAAATATAAAAGGTGTGGATATTTAATGATAGTAGTAATAGCTAACATTTATTGAAAACTTGTTCTAAGTACAGTTTGACATGTATTATTACATTTACCTTACCAAAATCTTATGGGGTGGTCAATATGATTACCCCATTCTGTTAGATAAAGAAGGTAAGGAAGTAAGAGGTCATTCAGTTAGCTAGAGGTGTCTCAGGATTCGAATCCTGGCAGTCTGACTCCAGAATTATGCTCATTAGCTCTTCTGAGAGTACATATATTTGTAATATAAAATGATAGCTCACAATCTTGACAACATTTTTAATAATAGGTTGACAGATTCATTCATTCATCCAGAAAATACTTATTGAATACAAATTTAACTACCTACCGTCATCTGTGAGCAAGATAGACAGTGTTCTAGATCTCACAGTGCTAACCATCCTGTAAATTAGGCAGGGTAATCTTATGTCAGTAGGCTAATCAACAAGAAACTAAAATGTAGCTTTGCAAATGATGAGTATTTGAAAAAAAAAAAAACAACCCAGAAAACAAAAAACGCAATGTGGATGTGATTTGAAAATGATCAAACTTCAGCTTAGATCATAAAAACTTGTGCACAGATATTTTGTAATGCTGCCCCAGATGTCTCAATCACGACAAAATTCTTGTGAACAAAACATTTTGAATGTAAGGACATGCTTAATAAGAACTTTTTGCTAACTACTGATGGGCTGGGAAGGCATTGTCAGAGGTCACACTGACATGCATAAATAAATGACTGGTTCAACAGGCCTTTCCAGATCTTGTATAAAAACCTCTGAAAATGAAACATCTGGGGGTCATTCCATCGAAACCACCACTGAACCTGCTTGTCAGTTTTCTTCCCGTTAGGGGTGTGTACTCAATTCCATTGTGGTGGTATGGCCTCAAACTGCTGGAAGCTTGTGGGAAAGCTGATGGGTGTGAGTACAAGTAAGACCTTAGGTATCATGAAACTATTCAAAATAATATCACTTTGTGGATAATCTGTTGTTCTTGGTTCTTTTTTTTTTTAAAGATTTTATTTATTTGAGAGAGAGAGAGAGCAAGAGCGGGAGGAGGTGCAGAGGGAGAAGGATAAGCAGACTCCCTACTCAGTGGGGAGCCCAATGCGGGGCTCCATCCGAGGACCTGGAGATCATGACCTGAGCCAAAGGTAGATGCTTAACTGACTGAGCTACCCAGGCACCCCCTTGTTGTTTTAAAAACTATTTTTAAAAGTATCTCCACACCCAATATGGGGTTCCAACTCACAACCTCAAGATCAAGAGTCGTGGGCTCTACCGACTGAGCCAACCAGGTACCCCTGGATGACCTGGGTTTTTTGTTTTCATTTTTGTTTTAAATATTTTATTTATTTATTCAAGAGAGACACAGAGAGAGAGGCAGAGACATGGGCAGAGGGAGAAGCAGGCTCCATGCAGGAAGCCTGATGTGGGACTCCACTCCGGGACTTCAGGATCACGCCCTGAATCAAAGGCAGAAGCTCAACCACTGAGCCACCCAAGTGTCCCTGTTTTATTTTTTAACATTCTTGCCTTTTTTTTTTTTTTATTCATGAGAGACACAGAGAGAGAGACAGAGACACAGGCAGAGGGAAAAGCAGGCTCCCCATGGGGGAGCTTGATTCGGGACTTGATCCTGGGACTCGATCCTGGGACTCTGGGACCACACCCTGAGCTGGAGGCAGACATTCAACCACTGAGCCATCCAGGCATCCCATGCACTTAACGGAATGTCTAAGAGCACTCTGTGTCTCTTACACAGACTTAGCACATGATGCCTTTTATTAGAGATATGTGTACATACCCCAAGGCTCTTATGAACAGAAACAGTATCAAGGATAGTATTTAGCCTCCCCACAGTGTCTTTCCAGCTGCCACCACAGGACATGCTCTGTAAGCATCTGTTGCATGAATGAACAAATGAACAAGTGCTGTTTTGCTCAGAGATATACTGGCATTACTTCCCAGCATGCCTAAAGCTAAACATATTCTCCTTCTCTTTGGCAAAACTGGTGCAGTTTCACAACACTTCTATCAAAGGGAGCATTGGAATTCCTGATGCCTGTCTTGAAATCTCACTGTCATTTCTAAATCTTCCCCCTCCTTATCTCTCTGATAAGCCTTTGCCAAGGTATCGCCTTTTCATTTTGATCCATTCCATTGCTACTACGACCTATCTGGGCTTTTACCCCTAACACCTGCAACAATCTTCCATCTGGTTCTCCTGATTTCAAGCTCTTTCTGCTCAAATTCAAGCTACTCTCCAATCCTTGATTTATTTACATGAATTACAGATTTCCCCACTTTCCAGTCTAATGGAATGTAACCTTACCTAAAACTTGACTCTGAATTTGAGTACACAACTCAAATTGAGTGTGCTGAGTTCCTGTGTTGTTGTTTTAGTAGGGTGTTCTGATTGGTGAGACTGTGAGGGCCAAGATGAATTTGATTCTGTGGTTTTAATGAAAAAACAATGATGTAGTTTGGGGATTTTACAAGAAGGGCTGAAACAGGAAAACAAGGACCCAAGTGTAGTGGTGGGTGGAAGCCTTGTGGGAGGGAGGAAGGTGGAAATCAGAGGGCAAGCAGCTGGAATAAGCAGGGTCAGGCCATTATGAGGTGGATATCTTCCAAGAAACTGCAGGTCTGGTGGGATTTTTCTTCTTTTATTGAGATAGAATTGACATACAGCACTGTTTAATGAACTGACTTGAATATATCGCAAAATTCTTACCACAATAAGTTTAGTTAACCTACATCATCTCATATAGATGCAAAGAGAGAGAGAGAGAGAGAGAGAGAAAGAAAGAAAGAAAAAAAAGATTTTTTTCCTTGCGATGAGAACTTTAAGGACC